GCCTCAGCAGCAACAGCAGCAGCAGCAGCAACAACAGCAGCAGCAGCCGCAGCAACAACAACAACCGCAACAACAGCAGCAGCAGCAGCAGCAACAGCCACAGCAGCAGCCTCCTCCTCCTTCTTCGCAGCAACAGCCGCAACAGCAACCGCAACAGCAGCCACAACCACCCCAACAACAGGTGGCCGCGGCGCAGACAACGGTCGCGCCTGCTTCGCCTACGGTTCCTACGGCGAAAGAAGAACACCTGCCGGCAGCTCCATCCCCGGGCACAGCAGTCCCCTCTCCCTCTTCGTCTTCGGTGAGACCCGAGGGGCCACCCACTCCAGGAGGAACGAACGAAAAAAAAGTTGGCAAGTCTGCGCAACCGTCCCCTTACTGTGACTTCTGTCTGGGCGATGCTAGGGAAAATAAAAAGACTGGCGGCTCCGAAGAGTTGGTCTCTTGCAGTGATTGCGGTCGCTCAGGTAAGCCAGAGGAAAAGATCAAGCGCAAGTATACACGACGAACGAATCACAATTAAGTATATATGTATGTGTGTCGAAGGGTCGCCATAGTCGCGGCTTTGTTTGTTCACGGTTTCATAGTATTGTCACGGTTGTCGCGTTTGCGTTTGTCGATCTAAACCCTGCCTTCTTCTATCGAAAGGTAACGAGCTTTGATAGCATCACTAGTGGCCTGCGCCTCTGGGGACGAGGTGTCTGTTTCCTTTCATTTCATTCGAACTTATTCGTCAAACGAATATTGTTTTTCTTTGTTATGTCGGATGTTGGTTTTTAGGTATCTCAAAGTTATTACCTAGAAAGGATTACACCGTGTTTTTCAGGATGTTGCTACGTTATAGAATCATCAGGAGTTTATACTGTGCAGAGATAACAAGTTGGCCAACGGGACGATATAAAGGCAAGGGCAGTACTCTATTCGAGATACCCGACTCCTCTCGATTACGCGAATTTGTCAGTACACTTTTACGTGGGCAACGTAGGCTTTCGTTGACTAAGAATAAGTATAAGAGGGGAGGTCTAGGGTGAGCCTAAACAAGAGGCTAGAGGAAAACCAAGGAAAGTCTTAGAATCTTAGGGTTCTTCGTTCGTAGGCAAAGCTCGAAGAGAGTTTTGGATGTCTTAAGAATTATTTAACTCCGTAATAGCTTTGATTTTCTTTGTTATACGGTTGCTTGTTTATGTCGTGCATTTTTAAGTGTTGACTTCGTGTTAGAGATTCGCTTTTAATATAAAACTTTCAGGCAACAAAAATTTGTCTTATCTGAACTGTTATTTTTCTATGATTTCGGATAACGAAGGTTCTGTTGTAATTTATCTTCCCGAAGAAGTTCTTTTTATATGCCGAAGAATTACAGTTGTTATTCCGTTATGTGAGTTATTTGAAGCATCGTCTTCCTGAAATGTGAAATCTCTATGTATATTTTTATATACGTAAAGTATTCCTTTTTTACTCTTTACACGTATATCGTGATGCTTTGTTCGTCTCCCATTTACATTTTAATCTTATAGTATAACGAGCCTATCATATAAATCTATCGAATAGAATTTGATGTCTTCTTTTTATAAACAATGTAAAAGTAAGATTATTATAATAATTATATAGCTTTATATCTATGTTTTTGTAGTAATTTATCAAAAATGTTTTTTATAAACTTGTTACAAGTTATTAATGGAAGAGTTCGAAAAAAATCATTAATTCTACAATTAGTAGTTGTTATGATTCGCTGTCGTCCCCATACGCGTGGCCAATAGCGTACTTTCGTCTCTTCTGTATCTCCTTACTACAATGGGACTTGTGTTCACACGGTAAAGCCCTTCTTTGTATTGTATTATTGCTAGCTACCGGTTGAACATCGTTTACTATATCTTGGACAAAATTGTTAGTTTGTGCTTGTCGATCGTTTCGTTCATCGTTAACGCGTTGATTCCCATGATAAAAGTTACCTAGCCCGAAAAAAATATTCTTCGAAAGTGCAGTACACACCTATACTACAATCGATAGCACGGATAGTCAGGAATATTAAAGAGTAATTTTTTATTAAAATATTTCTTAATTATTTCATTCAATTCATAGCCATGGTAGTCAACGTGTTAATCGTACTCTTGGGATAAGGGTTCAACTTATCCTGGTAAGGATCATGATGAACAAAAAAAGAAACAAATTAAGAGAAAAGAGAGAATTAATGATTTTGGATAAAAGTAGGATGATAATTGGGTACTGTGTGACATATGTTCAAGGCCATCGATAAGGATAGTCGAGATAACACAACCGTGTGTGCAATAATTAAAAAACAAAGAAAAACAAAGAGAGAGAAAGAGAATATCGATTAATTATCTGCACGATTCAAGCGGAAGGGAATATAGTTACGAGCTTTACGTACACTAGTCAAGGCACGAAAAGCGAAAATTGAAAAAAAAAAGAAAAGAATGATCATCGGTTTGTCAGTGGCGCAATTTGGTCGCATCTGAGTAATAGGAATTATCCGTGAGAAATTCCTTTTACTGCACGGATCAACTGTGATTTATCTATAATTCAATGATTAGTTTATAAGGGGAAAACAAATTTTTACGAAATGAAACAGAACAAAACGATGCTTAAAAAAAAAACGAAAAAAAAAAGGAAATAAAATGAAACTCTATGTACAAAACAGAAAAAGAAAAAAGAAATCAACGTGGAATTACAGATCTAGGTCTGAATATTTAAGAATTAGAAATTTATAAAAAAAAATGGAAAATAAAATAGATAAATGCATAGAGCGACGACGAAGTACATATAAAAAGGTTAGAAGAATTCTTGAATTTGTTCGAAGGGGACGGAAGTATTTCGTGCGTGAAATTAACGAAAGTTTACAATACAAAAAAAAAAAAAGAAAAAAAAAATCCTGATTGTACCTCCGAATAGCACCGATGTTCAGTTGATTTGAAGCTTGGTGAATTTGTTCACTACGTAGTCCTTGTCTCGTCGGCTTCAAAATTCGTACGTAAAGCTTCTGTCTGGTCGATTCGATTATAGCAAGATATTAGCAATTTTGGTTTGCTTTCAGTCCGCTTTGGATTAAACTTTAGGTAGATATTTACTTCGAAATCTATGTTAAGTCTCCGCCCCGTCCATCCACTATGAAATAGTCTAGTCGGTTCAGTCAAGTATAAAATTTCATATTTAGGGTTTACTCTTTTTATCGAATATTCGTCAGGTTTCATTTCAATCGCTGGTGCCATTCAGGAGAGTATCCAAGATACCTATTGCACAGTATCGCTGAAGCACATATTGAAAGATGTGTTCGTGTTCTCTGATTTGATTACGCTGTAATCGTGTTTCTTACGTTGCATCGTGTTCGTGGAGAATCAAAAAACCAAGACAAAAAGAGGGAACTAAGAAGAAGAAGAAAACACAAAGACAAAAGCTTGCTGCGATTATTGGTCGGTTGATTGATCGTGAAATTTCGAGAGAGCTTAATAACAAACGATACGATATATACATACTTTATATTATTATATATTTATCCAGCACAGTCGTGAATCGTTTACCGAGAGAAACAATATTTATACATAGTAAGACGTGAAGAGGATTGACCATGTTTTCGATACTTCTACACTTTTCGAGCCTTGTAAATAACTTTTTTCCGTTTCTATTTATATATATATCTCATATATATATATATTTGCATGTGCGTGTGTATGTATGTGCATATATCTATAACGTATGTATATGTACACACGCACATCCACTACAATAGAGACCACATCTTAAGAGCGCAGCACATATGTATAACTATAGTAAAAGAAAAAAAAAAGACACAAGAGGAAGATATAGAAAAAAATCATGGAAGAAAATATTCTTTTCACATGGCACAATCGTTATCATGTTATTCGCCTTTTTCGTTGACTTTTCGAATGAACAGTTTTGATACTCGTCAGTTCGATTCGTTTCTATCGATATTTCACGTTTCAAGAGCTGCCGCTCTTAAAAGATCTTCTGTTTCGTTTTGGGCATTAATCGTTTTCGTCTCGCGTTGCACGTATTATAGAAAATCGTCTTCTTGACCGATCGATTCGAATCGTCATCCGATGACGAGCATGTTCAAATAGATGAAGGCACAAAAGCGGAAATACGTGTACGAGAGGGTTACACAGTTTTCCATGAGTTTCGAGTTAGCTACGATACTAGAAGATGTATCTGTAGGTATTCGATATGATAGCTTAATTTTGTAAACGCTTTGATATTCGTACAACAAAATATCAATTCGAACGCTGCAGATTAATCGTCGTATCTATTTATAATAACATCTTATGAGTTTTTCGTCGTAGATCAGCTCGTGCCCGATTCATACGTAGGATATCTCAATAAGTATGTGCATGATGGAATACCGGAGATTCGCGGTATCTAAAAGAAAAAAAATTGAAAAGTATTCCCCATCTTTAATATCTTTTCCCGAAAGTAAGTAAAGGAAGTCTAGTATGTATACTTGGGTACAAGGTGGGCTGCTTTTCTTGATTATGGTGAAAGACAGGAAGAAGAGTTATTCGCCGTAGTAACTCCCCCGAGAATTGGGGGGAAAGAATCGAGAACTTTTCAATTTCATCTGGACGCAAGGAATCCGCAATTTCAGAGTGTACATATTCTTTGATATAACCTGTATCGAATTAATTAACTCCCTGTAGTATAATGCAGAGAGAAAGAGTTCGCGTTCGTTTCATTAGCAGCTACTCGTTTTTAACGCTAACGTTATATTATCATAGATTTATATGGATACGATACGCGTATTATTCCCCTCGCCCCTTGTTATTATTCGTACGTCCGACAGGGTGTAATTAAGCGTTGAACAACCAGGTAAATTACTAATTTACGGTGCGTCTAATTAAATACATTAGCTAATACAGCGTTCTCTGTGCAGAAGCCGATTCTTTAGATATATCATCGCTCGTAAATGTGTTTATGCTTAAGTATAATTTTATATCGTTCGGCAAATGATTCCACAGTGTGTTTTGCTGGAGCGTCGTCGACGGCAATTTCGAGCCTTTACCAAAAGAATTCGTGGAAGAGAAAAAAAATCAGGAGTGAGAGTGCGAGCGAGAAAGAGAGAGAAAGACGGAAATTTGGAAAGCAGGATAAAAAGAGAAGAAAAAGTAAAATAGATGTGTTTAAGGCGAGAAAGATTCTTAGAGAATATCTATATAATTTAACAGGTAACGATGGAATGACTTCGAAGACGAATCCACTATCGCAATCTTGGTAAATCCTTATGTTTATCGTGTCTAGAAACTCACGTGGTATAAGAAAAAAGAGAAGAAAGAAAAAAACACGAAACAAACATATACGAGTACGAAAGCATGCAGAGATAGTTCCTCCTTGTTATATAAAGAAAAAAAGAAAAATCGAAGATTTGTTATTAGGCAATTTTAATTAAGCAATACCCATGAGGCTTACAAATCTAGTATTTAAGTAACGCTAGTTATATATAAATATATATATTATATATATATATATATATATATCCAAACCAGCGATTTGTTATCGTTATGAAATATCATTTTGCAATAGCTTCGTAAACAATCAATACTTAATATTAAACATTGTTACAAATAGGTATATATCTTAATTACATACACAAGTGTACCTAAGAATACATTGTAATTTACATACAATTATACATATGTAAATAAACATGGATACTGAAAAGTTCAAGTGCATAAACCAATATATCACACATCATTACGAACATCATTATTTTATTGTAAATTTTTTTCCAAATATTTACACAGCATTGCTACACATACTATCTTAATCTCTAATGTATATACAAGGTACGTAAAAATATTATCTAATATTAAATTATCCTTAAAAAAGAGTGAGATATGCAATGATCATAAATAATAAATATAGGGAGAAGACGCGTTTCCTTCACAAGCTCGTGAAGAATAAAAAAACATTTGTGTTGTTTTCCAAAATGTATTTACTTAAAAATACAATGAAAGTTCAATTCTGATGGAATGGGCAGAAATATAGTCTGTGGTATCGGTATTACTGTTTACGTCGAGAGTGATGATGCAATGGTATCCTGTACAAAAGTAGTTTGAACAAGACTTATGAACACACAAACCAAATTCTTAGCCTAGGATTTTTCGTTTACGTTTACTTGTGACACAATATTTTTTATTTAACCTGATTCTTAGATTCCCTTTTTCTTCATTTTTTTCTTTTTAATGCTTACCTAACAAACGTAGGGATGTAACGGTATCTGGGCAATCAGCCTGATTGATCGTAAGACCCGTTAGCACCAGCAAAGAATTTTCTGAATCGCGTCAAGTACTGGAGCAAACAGAACAGTTCCGTAATCTCTTAGGCTCAAAGTACAAAACGCAAGTCGATTTCCATATCTTTTGGACATGTTGCAAACGGGGCTTGGTATTGTTTATTAATAAAATTAAATGGACCTATACTTATAGTGTATGTATTGTATACTATGAACGCTAAAGTACTCATTTTTTGCTCAGGCACCTGTACTTTAAGATAGTTCTTTGTCAACAATAATCGTCAAGGTACTATCTTGAAGTGAACACGTGAAAATACAGCAGCAGATTGTGTATAAAATCGTAGATTAACAGAGTCTTCACGAAGATGGTATGGTCTGCGAACAGTACAATAATTACTGTCATTATACCTTCTCTTATCAAATTTTCTTAGTCCTTATTTAATCATCGTAATATCGAATAAATTGGATTTATCGTTACACGCACAGTCCACGCCATCTCCTTGGATTCAATGTGTAGCAGGGATTCAGTCCACCAATAGCAGTTTCACTTTTTCTTTCTTTAATACTGCCATTACTGTTAATTTGTTTTTCGGATATTAAACCCATCACTACTTACGAGAACGAATCATTTTCTCTGATCTAACTGCGTTTTATTTAACTATCTCATTCGAAAATATTTGTACATTAAAACGTGGGACATCGTCTCGCATTCAAATTATCGTTACCTTTATTTATTATGCAGCTATGGTACAATGGTATCGTAACCGCAATGTCTCTTCACCCTTCTTTTCTTTTGTCTACCAGTCTCCCAAACTAAGTGGTACACCATGGACGCGGCACTCGCAACTATCCATCGACTTTGGCCATAGAGTATCTTTCAATTAGATGGTAACCAATAAATCGTATATTTAACGCATTAAAAATTACCAAACACTGATAGAGTTCTGTGGGAGTATGTCATTAATACGACACCGATCACCATATACAAGAGGAATCGCAATAAAGAAATACTGTCACTCGTTCTGCGATAGTCAACGAATCACGAGCATGTGTGTATGTGTGCGCGTGCGTGTACAGATGTGAAAAAGTGAGGGAAACGTAAAACACGAAGGGAGAAAACAGGACAGAGAATAGTATGAAAGAGGTGAAAGAATGAGAAAAAATGGACAAAAATGTGTGTGAACATATATAAAGAGAGGAGAGAGAGTGTGCTGGTCTGTGACGTTTATATTGTGCTGCGCAAGAAAGAACGTGAACTATTCCAAGGTACGCACCGCTATTACTTACCACCTTATTATTCCAAATAAACAATAATATGTTCAAGAGACAACATCAAAAAAAAAGATCGCAGATATCATGAAATAAAATATTCTGTGCGGAAACATAACAGAACGTATCATTATTCCGGACGTTTTTAGTGCTGAGGAAGGGTGAAAGTCAATAATGATTTGTGAGATCGGCACGCGTTGTTTCAGTACAAATATCGTTCGAATTTTTGCTTAAAATCGAGAATTGTTACTCTTCCAATATCGATGCCAAAAAAAAAAAATACGTAATAATATTTGAAACAAGATGATAGCTTGGAGTTCACTGTTCTTCGGCACAAGATAAATGTCCTAGCACCTTTCTACTCGTCCAAAACAGTTCTATCCTGTTCCGTCCCATATACGTGTTCCATGACCTGGCTACGTTCTTGTTATAGGGCATCCGACTTGTTTGCAATTCACAGCGAACATGATCGTTTCTGTTCGCAAGTACAGGTGGCAGTGCATCGAATGCAAATGCTGTTCCATATGTGGTACTTCTGACAACGATGTGAGTATTAAACATTATTTATCCGGTCCTTTGTTTTCTGTACGGATAATCAAACGAAGAGTCTATGTACACTTACTCCAATCTATTTTGCTTTCTTCGTCGTGCTGTTGATATTACTTACATAAAATTAGTGAACATTTAATAAGAATTTTGTGCAATTAACGATAGACAACGTCTGAATAAGTTACACTTCTGAAGTTTAAAAAACTCGGCTTCATAGTTATGAGATAGGTTCGATTTATACTTCCATTTGAACCTAATACTTCATCTATAATTTCTGTACTCTGTGTATGTCCCAGCTTCTTCTGTCTTTTGCTCTATTACGTATCAAAGCCATTCTTCAACCTTCGTGTTTGGTCTCCTTTCCATCAATTTCTTCTTTGTCACGCTCTAATTTTTCAACTTTTTGCACCGAATCATTAAACATATTAGTATCCTTCGATTTTCATTCGCATAAATTGAACTTCCTTTCCCACGTTATGCTGTTGCTATAAGATTCTAACTTCTTTCCTTTCTGCTTATCTTTAAAAGAACGTGAAAAAAAACATTACGTTAGTTAGGTAATATCGTTGCAAGCTAATTAATTTTTTCGCGAACCAAACTAGGATCAGCTGCTGTTCTGTGACGACTGTGATCGTGGATACCACATGTATTGTCTGTCTCCACCTCTTGCATCTCCTCCTGAGGGCTCCTGGTCTTGCCGTCTGTGCATAGCAGAATTTCATCGCCGTGATTAAAAGACAGTCTTGTTTCGTAGATAAGTCACGGATTTTTTTTTATCTATTTGCTGTGGTGCACTGGCCGTTTTTGTCTTTCTTTATATCGTTGAATTAGGAGAGTATTCGAAAAAAGCACATTGTCCTTCCCTTTAATATAGTATTACGTTAACGCTAATGTATACAATCATTGATCGAGGATCTTCTTTTCGTTGATAAGAGAAAGAGTTCATCAAGAAAGAGTTGGCAGCATTAACAATTCCTTTGTTTGTAAGTTCCGATAATAAGTGGAAATATCGCGAAGTATTCGTAGTGCGTAATGGCTGCGTTTAGATATCTCAGGCACTGGTGATCTCAAGCAACTAAAAGTATGATAACTAACGTATTATATTTATAATTTTAATGAAGTAGCGTTTATCAGTAGGTATATGAAAAATGTAGCGTTTAAAGAGCTGCCGACAACAGTATAGGATTTTAGATTCGAAATGTATTTTTTATTGACTTTTAAAGAAGAGACGTAATTTTTATGATGCTTCTTTTTTCTTAATTATAGTAGAAAGTAGTTTTTGAGAATTGTAAACGCGATAAATACTCTCCTAATTCCGAGCCAATTAACTTTTTAGCCATTGACATTCGAAGTTCGGTTGCTTTTACGATTTCGAAGATGCTTGAAACACTTTAAACGATTTGGAAATCTCAGATTTTTCCGAAATTCTTCTAGCTCCTTTTGCTCGTTGACTTGGTCCGATCCAAGGTTCATAAAATAAGCAAAAGTAAGGAAACAGAGTTAAAATAAAATTGATATTATAGTAAAAAATACATGATATTATAGCATCTGTTTCATAAATAGTGATAAAATAGAACACTACCTGTTTATCTGTAATGTATCATGATACTAAAGCTTTTACACTTAATGACACAGCCATTAGTAGCAGTATAGCTATGACATACAGACTTGCAGTACCGCAGAAAATTATATTCTATATGCCCTTTATTGTTAGCTCAGTATTTTTATATTTTATATATTGAATGTACTTAATTTAAGATACTGTGGTGATATTTGGTACTCATTGATGTAATTTGTTTTTTTCTTTCTGTTTTTTTTTTTTTTTGTAATCAATAATTTTAGGGTCATTCAATGAAGTGGAATTGTGTAATTAGATATCATCAGAATTAGTCTATAAACATTTTTTGAGTTTGAATCGATTGAACGTAGCGAATTTACATTTTATATCGCTTATCTTTAACACATTGTATGCAAATTTGAATAAACGTTAGTTTATACAAACAAACGAATCACTAACTTCAGACAGTCTTATTGTGTGCCATGAATATTTTTTGAATGCAGGAAGATAATACATAATGATAGAACTTCTTTGGGTGCTATATTTCAGGGATTACTTTCCCTTTTGAACATTTTAGGATAACTTTATAAGATTGAAAGTCATGTCTTTGACCAAGGAAAACTATATTCTATAATTATAAATAATAATAATATATATATATATACACACACACACACACACACATATATATATATATATATATATATTTGCGAAAGTGTAATGTAAGGTAATTCATAAGTAACAAACAATACTCAAAAAAAAAATATAAGTTTTTTTATGAAAACAGGATTTGTATGAATCTATGATTATGTGTATACCCATTTTATATTATCCCACAAGCATGCAAATATTCTGATAAAAGTATTATTATTATCAAACAGAGACTAATTATTTTTTATGATTTGTCAATACGTACATGTCAATCAATTTCTACTAAAATCTCAGACAACTGTTTTCTTTGGAGAGCAGGCACTGTTGCATTTTTTGCTGGATACCCAACTGGCAATAGTACAACTAGCTTTTCATTAGGAGGACGTTTGAGAAGGTTACGAATGGCAGGTCCACAATTTAACGGAGTAGAAGTTAAAGTTACCAAACCTGCATACTAGTTTTAAAATTCACGTATTATGATCCATATTATTCATAGGTATACGACATAAGAGGTGATAGTATTATAATGGTATTACCTGTATAGCGGTGATAAGAATACCACAAGCGATCGATGTGCTTATTTCGTTGTAATAATGAATTTTCTTTTTTCCGTTAGGTAAAATTCCATAAATTTGTTTGAATACAAGTATCAAATAAGGAGCAGTGGTCAGGTACTCTTTGATCCAGTTGGTTTTAAATGGAAGTAGATCTGTGGTCCATTTTACTCCCATTCTCTTTTTATAATTCAATTCTTCTTCTGTTTCGACGATACATCGTATTTGCTCTTTCACCTTCTGATTTGATACCGCTACGAATGTCCATGGTTCTGTATGCGCACCACTAGGCGTAGTGCCTAAAATGGATTCAGATGTACAAGAAGTTTTGTGAATGTAATAATATGATATTGTACCTGCAGCTTTTATTATCTCGTGTATAACTTCTTTTGGTACAGAATCTGAACTAAAAAATCTGATACTTCTTCTAGCAGCTACTATTTTATAAAACTTAGAAGCTCTAGAAAGTAACTCTGCTTCAGAGGGTTTCGTATATTTGTATGGAACATGTTCTAAATCTTTTGGTAGCGCAGGTTCTTCGCTATCTTCTAATGTTTCTTGAAAATGTTTTAAAAGAGATAATTGTTCTATGTGATTTTACCATTAATAAACCTCAGTTTTTATAATTAGCTGTTATTATAAAACATAGAATAAAATGCATTCGATATAATGTAAAATTAATTTATACCTTAAATAACGTAAATTTTTTCAAAATTTTAGTAGCAATAAAATATGGTAAAATTACCTTCTAGTTGCTGTATTGTATTATCCAAGATATTAGAAGTATATTTATTATTCTGAATAAAAATGGCGCCCTTTCTCGATATTTCATAAAAAACTTTTAAAACACTGCAAGATATGATAAAGATTAGCATATGATACCCGTATTTCGTCCAAAATGGTAAAAGTTCAGCAAGCATTTTAAAAAAAAAAATTCAGCCTGTTCGAATAATAAAGTTATCAAGAATTTTATTCGACTGTTTTAAGTATACATTGGAGAAGACTAACACGATATAAAGACCTCCGTTAATACGAGTGGTGGGATACATCTGACCTAAAATGTATAAGATATCGCTTGTAAACAGACGATGCATTCCATTACTCGTATTTAAATTTATTCTTACTTACATTCGTTTATTTTTATTCGTCGTTTAATACACAACGAAATGTTTAAGTATATTTGTGTCTTATAATATATATATTACACCTAATTTCTTAAATCTGAAGGAAAAACAATGATAATTCCTATTAACGATTAGTAGCGATTGAAATTGTCTTCTGTACCTATTCGTATAGGAAGCACGATTTACCGAAGCATTTCATTACATTTTAAGCAATACCAAACGATTTAACTATACAGCGCAAAAGAACTCAGGCTATACAAAAAAATTACAACGCTGGCCTAGATAATGACTTTTATTAACATCTTACTATTGTTAAAAACTTGTTATTATAAATAAAGTCACTGTTTACTTTTAATAACCATCATTTATTTGAAATAACATCATGATCCATTATTCGTACTTTTTTTTAATATTTATCTGTTGATAAAGTGTTATATACTTTTGATGGTTGATTCGTAAATACTTTTTAACATCGAAAAATAATTAAGACTCTGTTGTTATAGAAGAGAAAATGCTAGATCATCGGTGTTGCAACAGTCGGTAATCGGTCGACTGCACTGACGCATCAACCGAAGCAGTCAGTGTTTTAGGATATGTTCAGACTGAACGAGCAAAAACAAGAGCAATTGTTAATGCTTATTCGGTACCATCTCCGAGCGTTATAATAAACATCGAGCAAACTGTACGGTCATCATTAGCGTAACTAGCGAAAGAGCAAGGTGGATCTCGTCCTGTTCACGTAAGATGAGGACCGTAGAATATAGGAAAGTTATAAATTTTCAGAAGCCCAAATTTTTCGTTCATTCGCCGGATTGTGAAAGAACGCTCATTTTTAAATTTCATCAGAGTGGAAAAAGAATGATTATTCGCTCGCTTGTTTTGAACGCCCTCTTAAGTTGCGCAGTACGTGTGCGCGGTAATCGAAACGTGCATGACTTCGTCGTCCGTCAACATCACGGTTGCAACAAAAATTGTGGCAATCATGTGAACGTCAGTGTGTCAACGTAATATCTCGGATCGTTTATCGATTTACGGGTTGACAATCAGTGCAATCGGTGTCCTCAAGAGTAACACGGACATAAAATCCTTTTCTCCTCGTCGATTTTGCTACTGTACGAGATTTTGTCACGCGTATACACAACATACATATAGTCAAATATATACGTTTCGCGACGAACAAGGAGGATCATCGACCCGTGTATTTCGTGAAATGCGTTTTCGTTGAAAAAGATTGAATTGTATCGTGAGTGACATCCAAATTCAACGACCAAGAAGTGACATGGAGAACGTCATGCAGCCGCCACTTCCACCGCCACCCCCACCCTCTGAAATCCCCGAGAATACCAGTGCAGAGCACACGGTCACCCATGTCTTGACATTTGGTACGTTATATTCTGCTTTTTGTGTACATTTCGATACAATTTCATGACAAAGATAATCTCGGTTGTCTATCTTTGATTGTGATAACGTAAAATCGATTGCCATCTCGAATTGTCAATGACGTTTTATGCGACTTTGTTTTAACTATAACAAAATTGATATTGCGCAGATTTTGCTTCTATTAATAATACTGTTGCAACTTTCTAAAAATCATCTAGCATTTATATAAGATATGTTTGAAATTGTTTGTATCGAATGCAAGTTGAATGGAACTTGCATTCGTGATGTTAGGATATACTATTTAATGCAACAATATGCTGTTTAATTTTAAGGTTATGTAATATTCACTTGCCAAATTTTGATCACTTTATGAGGTAATTACTTAAATAGTAAACACAATAAAATTGTTGGATATATATATATATATATA